ATAATACACATCGTTATTTTTTTGGTAAACATAAAAAAATCAATAAAATAAAGCAAAAAAATGCAAAAAAGAAGAAAATAAAATAAAAAAACTTAACAAAATTCTAGAAAGTTTTATACAAACATCCTTATCTTCTTGTCCTTGCTTTATTTTATAAGAGGTCATTGTTTTTTGTCTTTATTTTTTTTGTGTTTAGGTTTCTATTAAGTATTTTCATGATAATTATTTAAAATAATATAAAAAAAAACAATTGCTTCTATAAAATAAGGCAAGAACAAACCAAAAACAGCCCTTTGTATTTAATTGTCAATATTTTATTTTAATTTCATTGTTTAATTTTTTTTTCTTATTACTAGAATGATAAAGATGTGTGCTATTTAAAACAGTGAACAAAAATGTCATTTGTCATTAAAAAAAATAAAAATAACGTCACAACTCAAAAACAAATGACGTCACAAAATGTCACTAGAATGTTCGAGGATTTTTCTGAAAAAGCTGCAGAACTGTTTTAGCCCCACTAAAAATTTTAGACGCCCTACATAAAAATTGTTTCTAACTACGGGCCTGATTTTCTGACGCATCTTTTATATCGGTAACATTAAATAGACAAAGTCAAATGTCACAATTTTTTGACAGAGAATTTTTTTTAATTTTTTTATTTATTTATTTATTTTTATTTATTTTTTTCATTTCTTCTTAAAACATTCTTTCTTGTTTTTTCTTTTTGTTTTTGAGAAACTGACAATGATTTCCTTCTTTACTTTTAGTTTTTAAGTAACTCCCGAATTTATTTTTATTTAAATTTTATATTGTTTATAATAATTATTTTTATTCTTATGTTATAATTGTTTTTTTTTCTATCAATATTTTCTTGAGGTTAAGTTGAATAGCTTTAAGCTAGACTTCGCCTCCGCATCTTTGTATTACTTTTAATTTATTAATAAAGACCTTTATTATTATTATTTATTATTATTAAATATTTTTCCATATTCCTGGTATCTTAATATTTTTCTTGAAACACCCTTTATGTAGCTAGAAATAAATGTTTCTGAAATTTTAAAAATTCCTTTGTGTATATTTTGGGGTAAATATTTGCAGATCAATTTCGCTTAACGTGTTTATTTTTTGCCCCTTAAATTACGTCGTGTGTTAACCACCAAATCGATCCAACTTTCCCCTAAAAAAGCAAGCCAGGATATGATAAAGTCACGCTACCCTTAAACAAATGTTTTGTAATCAAGTGAATTCTGATTGGCATGAGACGCGAACTACACTCGTTTTAATACTATTACAATGTAAGAGGTTCGTTAACTTGGTCATTGTTACCTCTTGTCCGGTTAAATGGGTAAAATGGTCATCTGCCGTTCGGACATCCCGAAAAACCAGTCCTGCAATGTCCTGTCTATCCCCAACCCATCCTGGCGATGACCATTTCCCACGACCCAAGACCATACCATACACATATAACGAACCACATTTTGATCACAGCAGAGATAAAATTTTTGTTTTTTAGTCTTGTAAATTAAAAAAGTTAAAGTAAAACAAAACAAATAACAAAATAAAAAGAAATACAACAAAAATTATAAATTAACGGAAAAAATTACTGACATAAGAGTATACAGAGTGATTCATATTAATTATAAGACTAAAGGCAAAGCCSAGACTAACAATTTTTCTAATTTAACAAAAAACATCATTATCATTACAAATGCATAACCAAAATATCGCATAATTACTTATTAATCGTATTAAAAAAAATTGGAAAAAATTGACACATTAAATCCACAGACAAAACCGAAACTAATTGTAACTATAACTGATATTTTTAGTTATTAAATATTGAACAGWAAAATTTCTTTAACGAATAACAWAGAGTAAAAACCAAATTTGTATATTATTAGCCGAGACTATTTCTTACTTTAATTTTTGAAATGTATACCATAATTCTCCAAACTATGTAGTTTTACGCATTTTTAATTTTTAATAAATTAC